GGTTGTTGTTTTTGGCCAGGAATCTTCATGTTCTCTGTTTTTTCTTTGTTCAACTGATGTCTTATGCTTGGTGCTTCATCTGCCAACTTGTTGCTTCTCACTTGCATATCTTCCAATTTGTGGGAAATCAGACATGTACCATCGGCGAAAAATTGTAACTCTGCATATTTAATGTTAGAGTTTGAAAGTTTTAAGTCAATAAGGCTTTTTCAATTTTGTATAAGAACTAGAAAAAGACGCTCGTCTCTGTGTAAGTATAAATGGAATTTTGAAATTACCCTTCTACTACCACGTATTATCCACTCATTCCTTTATTCAAATGATCTGGTGCCATAAATATTTATATTGAAAATTAAACTCACTAGAATTCTTTCATTACCAAAAGTCAGTTCGAATATTAATTAACTCATAGTAATTTAATCAATTTTTGTTTAAGAATTGCTTACATCAGTCAGTCAATAAAATGGAATAAAAAACATTCAGATTAAGAAAATAAGAAGCACTTTAAGAAAATATCAATCTTTGAAGGACTTTACTCATTGTATCCTCTTTGATTCCATGTTACGGAGCATCTATCCTTCTCTTTAGGTAAGAATAGATATCCAACCTGATTCGTTGATAAGCATTTGGAGTGTTCCTGAAAGTTTCCCATTGCTTATTCAGTGTATCTTTTTTTTTGATTTACAGCTTGATTCCACACTATATTTTCGGTACAAGCATGGAATTTTCAGCATGGATATCGGTAGCCCAAATTTTGCAGGCCGACCATAGATATCAGATGTGCGTCGGTGCCGGCTCGAACCCCGGACCATGTGCATGGTCGGCGAGAGTCCTAACTACTGTGCCACCGACGCACAGTGAAATCCGTGAAAGTATCAGGAAGGTAGAGCTTTCGACGCATTACCCACAGATCGTACGTTGGTGTAATCGTCTAATGAAGAAGTCGCATGGGATTCTATCGAATCTAATTAAACGTCTGCGTAGTCAGAACAATATTGTCATAAATTAGATCTCATCGAGCGCTACTCCAATATAGACAAATAAATATACCCTAATAATCATGACTTGTCAATTTGATAATAAGAGAGCACTGTACAATAAGTCATAATAATAACAGTAATGATTAGAGTGTTGAAAAATGAAGCGATGTCTAATAACAGAGACAGTGAAAACGGTATTATTATGCCGATAAACCTTCTAACAGACATAATTAATAAAGGTTTAGTAAAGAAATAGCAAGATAACGTATTGTTAGATTGTAAGGGAATTAGATAATCCAAGTTTTGATGAAGACGTAAAAGTACCAAGGAAGGGTTGACGAACAAAAGTGGTAAGAAGAGAAGTTAAAGTACAGAAAGGGTGGTATGATCAGTTGTTTTGGTCTTCACTGGTCGAGTGAGCCATAATCGGTGTACGGACATTCTCCGGAATTGGTACTTTAATTGTTCGAATGCCAATATCCTCATTTATATATGTACATGCATGTATGTATATATATTATCTGGAAAGAAATTTGCCACAAAGACCAGGTTCTGTTGATGATTTATGGAAGGAATTAAAGTTGATGCTTTTGAATTATGCCAACAGTTTAACAGAAAACAAAAAAGTAAGAGTCAACTGATATATGTAAAACTTCCAGGTTGTATAGAAATTTATCTAGGCCTTAAACCAACATGAAGGCGTTACTTGTGGTGTAAGGTAAAAGCGATAAAATGAATGATTAAATTAAATCCTGATCCATTGTCAATCCCAAAAATCTAAGAGGAAAACCTAAAGATGTACCCTGTGAAAAAATTACACCTTTGAGGGGATAATTTAAAACTAGGTATGAGTCAATGAAGTCAACAGGGACTAACATTCTACGAAGTTACGGTATATCTACAGTGCACAAATCAGGACTTCTCCTTCGTCTAGCTTTAGGTACGTACGGTTAACCATACTCTTAAACCGCTAACTGGTTGTTTCATATTTCGGGATCCTTGTATAAAGAATTTGTAAAATTATTAGTGAAGTCTTCGACTTCATCGCTAAAATATCCGGGTGTGTAATAAACACATGACATCTAACAGTTTATCCTTTCCATTCAAAAATGCATCACTGGTTGAGGCAGTTGATTACTTATGCCAAGAAACCAATGGAAAGCAATTTGAATATGGGAATTCCCCTGTATATCCTTGAAGTAGTACTGCTTTATCGTATTATGAATACTCACTTTGTCTTCAGTAATTCGCATTATCAAAAAGTGGATGGAATCCCTATGGACCCACCATTAGGCTCGAATGTAAGAACACTTCTTTCTTGCGAAACTTGAAAAGTGATCGTTGTAAGATGTCATCAATAAGTTGGGTATGTATTGTCATTTTCCTAGGGATAGAATCATCTTAAATAATGATAATGTTCATATCAACAAAATAATGATAAATTCCATATTACATTGAGATGTTGGTTCGCAGGGATTTGATTGATTTCGGGATCGCGTCATGCTGGAGAGTCCCAAACTAGAACGAAACAGCTGTCTAGTACTACTTGCAGGTTTTCCAATGGTTCTCTAGCCGATGTCAGCTTATGATCAGATCCTCACACCAATCAGATCACTGTAAACGATCACTTGAATATCAATCTGATGCTCACTACCGATTTGCCCTATCCAGGTAGGTGGTTATCTGGGTTCTAGTTAGAAGTTGTTACCAATGGGGCACAGCAGCTCGGGCGTGAGGGCGAATACTCACCACGGATAACATTCGCTAGTGGCCACAACATATCGTGAATTGAAAGAAGTTGGAATTCATGCGCCATTGGATTGCTTCCATTGTCTTAATAGTCCACGAGTTCGCCTTGTAAGCGGAAGTTCCTTGTTTGAAACCTGGAGTTGGATGATTACTTCTGAAGAGTTCCAAACTAAGACGAAACGGCTACCGAGTGTTTTGAGGTTTTCCAATGGTTTTCTAACTAATGTCAGTTCATGATGAAATCCTGAAAATCAATACTAGATTGTTTTATTTGAGGTAAAAGTCATGCGGTATTAATGACTGTATGACGTTTCAAGGATAAATCATTGCTCATAGTCATATGACGCGGGTTCATGATTTGTCTTAAAAATATTTTCCCACTCTCTTTTCTTCTCTTTGTTTTTTCGGCACTTTCCGTATCTCTGGTATAGGTGTTGTCTCATTCTGATTGCATATGTGTAGCACTCAATCGTTAAACAAAAATTCAGTGAATACCCTCTCAATCTCCACCTAACTACATTACTTTTTAATATTTTCACCCTGTTTCACTCTGTTGTGTGATTACTTGCAAGTGAATGCAACAGTTGGGTCTGTTTCTACATTATTCAAACATTCTAGGTCTAGCTAAACTTTTTGTGCGAAAAATCTAACTGACCCCAGTCTACTAGTTTGATGGCCTATCTGGTTGACATTACTCACAGTCATTTCATGGTATTCGGTAAATTATTTTATTATCACTCTTCGTTGGATCTATCGGGTCCTTAAGCCGACAAAGTGTATCTCTGAGAGAGTTGGTTGGTTTAAATGCCAATCAGAGTAGTCCCAGCATCATGGGAAATACTACGTAATGCCTCTGACGTTCCTTCCTCTTACGGAAATACTACAAGGGCTTTTTGTCACGTAAAATATATCTAGTAGGTAATAAAATAAAATGCTTGGAATGTGTTGCGTTATACATCGGATAATCATCTCGAGAAATCAAAATCAGAAGAAATGAACACCGTAGAGCATCAATTCCACCACCGAAAAATCCAGATGAACTAGAAAAGCTCGAAAAGTCATCAGCCATAGCTTGTCTACAAGCTATAAAATCAGGCTACAAAAGTGATTTTGACAATATTGAAATAATCCAGAAAAACTTCAGGAATCACAAAGAACGTCTAATATCAGAAGCACTTCATATCAAGTGGAATCCAAATTGCCTGAACAGGAATGATGGACTAAAACAGAATGTGACATGGTTACAACACCTTCCTCCACTCTCCAACGAAGTGACAAAATCAACACGATTGTGATAAGCAAGTTCCCTATGCAAACACATAGTACTTTTATAATGTTACACACTGATCAAATCCAACAATCTACACTTGGTTTTGTTGTCTCTACTAGTTGACTAACTTGACAACGAAAAATTATTCCAGACTGACGAACGATGATCAAGTTAGTAAACTTTGTTTTGATATTATAACAGATGTACTATTACCTTTGATATTTGGTTTAGTGATCTTCATTGTTATTTTGACTTTCAATATGTCCTTTCAACTTGACCTAAGTCTATTTTCTCACCTCTTAACTCTTTGTTACATATACGCTGAGATTTTGTAAGTTTCGGTTCAATAATACTTTGATAAAGCTATTAGCATTAAATAACGAAATGTCAGTAAAAACAATATCGTTTTGTTTTTCATTCATTGGGAAATACAAAAACCTTTATTATAATGAATATCATATACCCAATGCCCAAATTTTTTCAAACCGTTAAAAGTGAACTTGGTTTGGACAGATATATCTAGTAAATATTTGATTGATAAGTCTGCCTATTAGCCCATGAGTTATGATTAGGAAAGAATCGAAATCTTAAATGTAATAGCTAGATATCACCATTAATCTTATAATGGAACAAAAACATGCGAATTACACTAAAGACCAAGTCATATATACATACTATCGAGATATGCAAGAGATCAGTCTTAATCCAAACGGTTTTGTTTTATTATCAATCTTTGCGGAAGTAAATTGAATAGACTGGGATTTTCAATGGATGTAATTCTCTCCAAGGCTACAAATACGCTCCACTCATAACTACCTATACGTGTGCCATTTAATGGAAATTGGAATTTTTCCCACCTCTCAGCCTAAGTAATTTTAACTTTTAATGCTTCATAACGCAATAGAATCTCATGTCACTAAGAATGTGTCAGCTGAATTATTCATCATACAAAAATCATAATAAATATAACTGAATCCATATATAATTTTAATCCAGTTTCACTGCAAACCGCATGTATTCTGTTCTCACCAATTACCACTACTATGTCTTTATTTCTAAGAGTTCACACAACGATTACTTTCCGTATATATTTTATATTATCCACTGTTATTGAATATTCAATTCTCTACACCCCTGAGATATTGTAAATGAAAGAAACAACCCTACAATGATGAGTATTTTAAGCCACTTAAATCTATCCCACCAATCATAAGAGAGTAATTTTTACTTTTATATTGTTTTTTGTTTATCGAATAGTTGTTTGTAACCTGTATTAAAACAACCAGTTTTAACTCTTCTCTATTTTGTTACTGTGGTCATATATATATAAACCTGTTAAATGATGCAATAAACACATTTTCACTTTCTAACAGCTATTTTGTTTAAAGTAAATATTTCAGTTATTGACCTTGACTAATTATAACGTATTTGAATTTGATTATTATTGTAATAATTAATACCTATTCATCAATTCTATCTGATGTACAACAGTAAAATATACATGATTATCGACATTTCGTGATAAGTAAGTCATATCCTTTTCTTTTGATTGCTTTTTTAATATTTTGAAATAATAATTACTTATGAAGTGTCCAATAGACTGATGAAATGATCAAGAGTTGTTATTCGATTTATCTGTCAAACAAACACCCGACACCACTTGAAGTGTATAGATTAACTTTAAAAAGGTTATCTGACGACTGATTGTAAATATCTGCAATGTTTGTAGATTAGAAAAGGTTTTATTTCATCTCTTTTTGTGTCTCAATTCTATGATGTTTTATGTTTGATCTAAATGAAGAATAAATTAGAAATTCAGAAATCTATTCATAAATTGTGAAGACAATAATATAGCAATCTCTCCACATTTTGAATCATTCGAAATATAAATTGTGACTTCACACAAAAGACTGAATAATTGTCAAGTTCGCCTTAAATTAGAGTGTTAGTCATTTGTGGTGGAGTTCCTAGTTGAACTGAACTGTGATTCTCGAACTTATGGGTATAAATTCAAATTCGAATAATCATTTATCCCTGCGATTATGGACACTTAAAAGGATTTTATAAAATCTGTCTGAATGCATTTATACTCATTACTGGGTATACACCTAGTGTGCTGATTACTGAAGCCTACCCACTCTGTCTATTTATTCATTTATTTCATTCTCACGGCATATACACATTGGGTCATAGGAGTTAATAAGAAGACAACTGCAGCGAAGAAAATTTTCTTTTCGACGAAGTCATCATCTAGGCTGTACATTCGTGTATTTATATCAGATCGATGGGAAAGTTCCAGAATAATATCCGGTCAAGGGTCAAATTAATTAAAATTAAAATTAGGAATTAGAATGCCACAATAAACAGGGGTATGGATAAAACAAACAAAGTAGCATCATAATAACTAAGAAGATTGACATTGTGCAATTAGGGGTTAGAAATGTAGAAATAACAAAATAGACAGGATGTCTGGATAAAAACTAATGTGATGAATAATTGTTTATGCAATCAGGGATTAAATATGTAGAAATGGTAAAATGACAAAATAAACACTAAGTTCGGGTATGAAAATATGGTAGTGTAAACAGGGATTAAGAAAAACTTAAAATAACATGAATAAACAGGAAGTTTAGATAAGAAAGGCGACGGGATGGTCATTTCTAAAAATTACCTGTTTATGATGGCCATGGCAGGGACAGGGGTTGAACGTATTTCAACATTCGATCAAACCTATCAAAGGGAGTAAAATCAAGACATCTGGGCATAGCCGAGGCGCTAGCTATACGAAAGCTCAAACCCACGCTTTGTATACAAAAGAAATACCTCCAACCCCTGTCCCTGCCATGGCCATCATAAACAGGTAATTTTTAGAAATGACCATCCCGTCGCCTTTCTTATCTAAACTTCCTGTTTATTCATGTTATTTTAAGTTTTTCTTAATCCCTGTTTACACTACCATATTTTCATACCCGAACTTAGTGTTTATTTTGTCATTTTACCATTTCTACATATTTAATCCCTGATTGCATAAACAATTATTCATCACATTAGTTTTTATCCAGACATCCTGTCTATTTTGTTATTTCTACATTTCTAACCCCTAATTGCACAATGTCAATCTTCTTAGTTATTATGATGCTACTTTGTTTGTTTTATCCATACCCCTGTTTATTGTGGCATTCTAATTCCTAATTTTAATTTTAATTAATTTGACCCTTGACCGGATATTATTCTGGAACTTTCCCATCGATTTGATATAAATACACGAATGTACAGCCTAGATGATGACTTCGTCGAAAAGAAAATTTTCTTCGCTGCAATTGTCTTCTTATTTCATTCTGGTCGGCGACCCTTTTTATCGGTGTCTTGCATACATATGGACTATGCAAGGAATTAATTTCAAGGCTTTTTACCTGCGATGCAAATATTTTATCACTGGATTATTTGAAATGTAAGAGCCACTAACTTCTGCTTGGTTAAGTAGCATAACTACTACCATACAATCTCTCTCCACACTCCACGAGCTGCAACGGTCAATCCACTTAATGATTCACTGTACGATGTTATTTTCCTAAGAAGTTCATCTCAGAAATACATAGACGTCAACCAAGAAGGAAACAGTTCATACAATTTTGAGCAACTCTTTCATGAAATATACATGATTCTCACCATAACTATAAATAAAGACCTAATTTTAGTGCATATTTTTGAAACTGGATTAATTTTGATTTAATTATAGCATGCCAAAAAATTGGTGAATAGAATGAAAAAAAACATGGTATCACACTAATCATCAATCGAATTGACACTACAAATTTAGGACATAGAAACAAGCGATAGTTGAAAATATTTGTATGTGAAATAAAGTTTAATAGCGAACACTGTTGATGTTTTCATATCATTCACTTCACTGAATAAGTTAGTTTATTAACGAAGTTAACTTTCGTAAGATAATATTTTTTTGGATTTCATCATAAGCTGACATCAATTAGGGAACCAGTGGTCGCGCTATATCGTGAATTGGCAGAAGCTGGAATTCATACGCTGGCCATTGCATTGAATCCCAGTGGCTGAATGGTCTACAAGCTCTCCTTGTAACTGGAAGGTCGTTGGTTCGAACCAGTGGGTACGTATTAATGAAGAGTCCAAAAGTAGGAAAAAACAAATGTCCATTACTCCCAGCTGGTTTTCCAATGGTTCTCTAACTGATGTCAACTCATGATCGAATCCTGAAATCAATCAGATCCCTGCAACCTAACACTTTTGAAGTGTTATTTTGAAGGGTAAATCAATGATAGATGCATGGCTCCTAAAGGAAATTTACTAGATATTATGGTGTCCAGCCTGTATAACCCAGTTATGCAGACCATACAATACAATATCACCAAATAGATGCATATAAGTTACTCAAATTTTCAGTCATTTCAAAACTTTAACTGTTTATTTCAAAGTGAAAAGGCTGGGAATCAGTCACATCCAATAAAAAGATTACGCATGAACATTTAATTTTGATTGAATCACTGAGCAGCTAATTTGAATTTTTTGCACTAAAATTTACCAACGGTTTGGAAAAATATATTTAATTCAGTTATCAGTACTATTCGACTACTTTCAGCTAGGACATTTTTTGTAGAAAGGGTTATGTCGAAAAGTAGACTAACCTGTCATTCACCCTAACACACACCTGACTTTCTTAGCAAAGTAAAAATATGTGACGATGAATGACAACAGAAGAATAGTGGTTTGTTTGATCTAATTTTGCTTTCACTACAGTCTGTAGATATTTAGCCCAACAGAAAATTAGAGGCCCTCTTAAAAACGGTGAGAATCTGTTGAAATGGAAAACAATCAGTTGTAGAAGTGATTTTAAGTATTCCTTACAAGGTATTCTGCATTTCAACAATAAGATCTACAGACAGGAGATGGAAGCATCTGCACGGTAATGTAGTATGAAGACTGACTATGAAAGCAGTAATGCAATGACTGGGGTTAATTATAGCTTTGTTTCTCCGCATTTCTTTTCGTTTCAAATAGAACACAGGGCTTCAGGCACGAACTTCGAACTTTCAGTAGCATTGGTACTGTTCCTAAAGGGTGGGATTGCTAACCTCACGTCCCAACTTTCCTTCTTCCCGGATTTTACTGACTGCTAAGCAGAGTTAACCATTGCGTAGGGCGGGAATTGAAATCTGCAACACTTGCGTGTTATGGCTGCCTTTAGTTAAACCTGAATAGGTGGGTGGATAAATCACAGTTTTGCCAAGAAGTGATAAAAATATTTATAAACTAATGTATAAAACATTCGAATTATAGCATGAAAAAGAACACAGTAAAGTTGTTTTGGGAGAGATCTGTTCCAAAGTACAACAGCCCACTCAAAAATCATAATTTGTGGTCGCATACACGCGTGTTTCTGGAAATTTCATTTCCATTTATTTATTAACAAACATTAATTCCAACGAAACATCATTCAGCAGAAACGATAATCCTAACTGATTAGGCTGAAACACTGAGAAGTGCTTACAAAAGAATTATTGTCCTCGCCTATTTGTTAATCAATATTAAAATGACTCAGGATAACAACATGCAGAAAAATTGTCAGCTGTCAAAGATACTTTTTAAAAAATGATACTACAAGGAAATTACAAGATATTCAGAATTAGCGCTGATTGTGACATTTTCATCATTCAAGTTGTTTTCACAGTACGAAAAAATACATGACTGATTTCCGAATATATATATATATATGTATATATGATTTCACCTTAACTGATCGCTGTGTCATAGAAGTTTTTGGCATAGTCTTTAAGCACACTATGTTAACGCTTATTACTCTTAACTTTTAATACAATTATTCGTCCCAAATATATGTTGTACTACATTTCAAGTTTTCATCAGTTGGTTTTTGTACCTCCATTATATTAGTAAGATTTTATTTGATAAATCACACAGGGTTGTACAGTAATATTAACTGATGACGTTTCGAGCACAAACTATTGCTCATATCATATTGATATGATTATGAGCAATAGTTTGTGCTCGAAACGTCATCAGTTAATATTACTGTACAACACTGTGTGATTTATCAAAATAAAATCTTATCCATAATGGAGTTGTACTCTACCACAGTGCCCAAGTTTTATACTTATAGTTTTTGTATCGCCTACAAATTGAAGTAAATTCAGGCTGTTCTGTTCACTTTACCTTTTTTGTTTTTGTCATAATCATAATTAGAAAATTAATGAGTGAACTTACTGCTCGAAGTGGTAAACCAAATGGAAGAAAATTAAATATATGCATTGGACAGATGTTGAATTAATCACAGAATCACAAATCTTTTGTTTAAATAAGAGTATAGTAAGCGCTACTCGTCAAATTTGAAACGATTTTTAAAGGGTTATGATGAAGGTTGTGATTGATATCATCAAAGAAGTCAATTCTAGCAACGACGACTTACTTAAGCATGAACCATCGGTCAGGAAATTTGAGTTACAGTGTTCTAGTTCAGGTGCCACAAGATATGATGACTTAAAAGTCGATCCCTTTTAAGATTTTCGTAAAAAATTACCGAAAATTCGTAGGCTGTATTGAAGCACCCATCGAGATCGTGCTAGCCACCAGTTGAAGTATTTTAGTGACACTCCCATGTAGATCGATAAATGTACGAATAAGGGATGTTATGATGTGAATCAAGAGTAAGCTAAATTTGGTTTCTTATCGATGTGTAAAATAACTGACTTTAGGAAACAAAGCATTACATATATTTATTATACCTTGAATTCTACTTTCTTTTCAACTGTTGTGGCCAAATAACAACGAAAAGTCTACCATAGCCTTCTTAAGCATTGTCAAACGTGGTTAGGAAAAGGAAGTGTAAGACCTATAAGGAGTCACATACTCGCATATCTCGAAGTACAGAACATAATGTTGATCGAAATTGAGCTTTCGGCATTCTATACACTGGTCAACCTTTACTCTCTGCAGTTATATTCCTTAGATGGCCAAGCATAGTTATGGCAATCACTGTTAGAATTTTTCAACCTTACTTTTTGTGCGCAGAAAAAATCTCTCTGGTCACGTTTCCTTCCTCGAACTTTACTGCCAACCTGGAATAGTTTTCTCTTCTGATGAAACCAGATAACTGTACAGATTACCTTTATTTTTATCACTGCCTTTATGACCATCATGTCAGTGTGCTATAACTATATATATCTTAATTTTAATAATTTGTGCTAAAACCATTTCCTTCACTGTTTAGTTGCTATGGGACAATAATTATTTTACCTCTCTACTCTTACATTATGCTAACGTATTCACAATAATTAGATTATTTAAACTCTTGCAACAATTTATTATGATTACATTGATTATTATTATTATAATGGTCATTATCATCCAGTATTTCATATAAGTGAACCTTTATTCTATTCCCTACACTAGTATTCAATATCTCTGTGTAATAATTTCATTCTCATTGACAAGGCAAACAATAATTGTGAGTAGATGTTTGCTTAAACTGTGTGTTCTATTATTATCTTTAGAAGAATATTTAAATAAAGCATTGATCAAAATAGTTTTTTATCCGTGATTTTTATCCTATCTAAGACATGTTATCTGAGATCTTTTTACCTTATATAGCATAAGATAAAACGAAACGATCAGTTAATCTTAACTTGGGAGAGAATTCAATAAAGATAAAATGAAGTCGATCGAAGTTATTCTAATACATACAATCATCACCTTTCAATTGCTTATCATCAATGTGAAAACTGATTCTACATTGAGTTCAGGTAAGTGATTTTTATTTTGTCTAACCAGTCAGTACTTAGAAAAAGTTTTTTTGTTAAAAAATAAAATAAAAACTAATTCACATTTTGGTTTCTCTTATCGTCTGCTTTTTGTCAAATATAATTTTGAATCATCACCAGTGTTAGCGTTATTTGTTCACTGATGTTATTTTAGTTAGCAGTGGCATTATATAACGAATTGAATGCTAGAAGTATTCCACCGCACTAATTTGAAGGTGTGTTGGCTTAGACTATTCGTGTACGCTTTTGAAGATTCTTGAGTTAAAATGAAATAGTGATGCATTGTTGCTTTATTTTCTATCATTCTATAATTAATATCGGTTCGGAAACTATGTCTACATTGAAATTTCCCATTGACTTTGAATAGTTATGTGTGAATATTTTTCAGAATCACCATTCCGATATTCTGCAGTGTTTTAGTATATTACTCACTTCATCTGAATAGAAATTCGTAAAACTTCATATATATATATATATATATATTCAATTGATGATCCACAAACCTGTGGGCAGTATTTTTATTCTGTAGCTGTGGAGAGCAAAATATGTGGGTAAATATTATTTCTTGCTTGAATGCCATAATACACATATGAAGGAAGGTATTATTCCGTAAACTGATAAATGCAGCCCATTCGGTGGCTGTGAAATATGTTACACCCCCTCCCTTTATTTTTCGCTTGACTCTCTAAAGAGATAATTTTTCTTGATCTTCTGAGTCCTGCTCACTGTTTTACATCATCAACTTCTCATGTGCACCGAAATCGTAAAATTCTGATCTTCTCTTATCTAATTACGTAACTGTTGTTAACTTTCTTTTGTTACCACCCCAACAACACAACAGTTAGTAAATTTTTTCAAGAAACTTCTCTCTACCAAGATATATATATATATGTCGTAACACTTTAGACACCCTGTAAATCTCAACGCCTTATTTTACTATGACGCTCTGACAGTATCCTTGCTAATGGACAAAGCTTTTTTAAAATTGTACACTTTTTATTGTTATTAAAAAAATTCAGGTTGTACGCAGCTGATGAGAACAAACGAAATAAAATGGATCCAGATTATTCTGCGCCAATGTTTCTTCTTTCTTTGTTCAAATTTATAAAAGGGAATAATGGTGTGAAATATTTTACATGTGATTAGTTGCTGCCTAGAATTAGTCAGCAAGAAAACTGAGTAGTTAGGCATAAACGTGAAACAATTCCATGTACTTATCGACTGTTGGTATTATTCGTAGAAGGTACTATAATCCTCCCTGTCAAACTAAATCAGATATAAATGATGATCTGATATTTTAGATAGTATAGCTCAAAACATCCAGCAATTACATTCATATTTTTTTATCCGATTCATACTGTCATATATATTATTATTATTTGTCTCGTCTACTTCACAGGTTTTCATTACTTTTCATTCCACTGTCGCCAAAGATTTTCTTTACCTTTTAATACCTATTACTCAGTGTGAATTCGTGAGATACAACCATATGGTTTGTTAAATAGTAAATCTGTAGAGTGTGCTGACACTGTTTTATCAGCTAATTCGATTCTTGTTTAATTATGTCAGCTATACACAGATCTTAAATCTCTCTCACATCAAGATTTTATATTTCACCCGGTAGAGGATCAGCAGATAAATCCATCAGCGAAGAAGTCCGACTCCTCTGTTATGTAATTATTCCTGTTTTAAGTACTAATCATCACTATTGTTTTAATCGATGTCGCCAAACAAAAACTTTTGTATTCTACTCTCTTTAATATTGATAAACATTTCTATTCTGAGTGAAAGAATTACGTTCATACGCTTCGACCATTTTAGGTGTATACTTCTGTAAAGTAGCGTATTCATTTTGAGCTTCATCTTTTGCGAAACTTGAAAGTGTAGACTGTTACAGCGACTTATAATTAAGTTAAAATAGCATCTGCATGCTTCTCTACGACAGAATATTACTGAATTTTATCCGTATTGATACAAACAGAGAAGTTTAAAAGGATACATTTCTCGTGATTTTGTGAATAATGTCCCATTAAAGGCTAAAAATTTGACACCAAATGAAGTGTTTTACAAATTCCAGCTGACATCTCTTTTAAATTTTCTCTGTTCATCAACATCTTGGTTAGGTGGGACACTTTAATTTCAGCTAGAAACCCCCCACCGTGACATGCTGAAGAATTTTATTTTATTAATTGGCTCACAATGTGTAAACAAAATGCGAAACATTCATATGTCAGTTAATGTATTCATCAAGAAGGCAGTATGTAGCTGCAAAGCGATGCTTGACCAAGACTGGGTGGATTTTGTATACACTTGACAACTAGAATGCAGCTAATGTAGACGTCTACCCTTTACTGTTCCGGTTCGCAAATATGCCAATGAAGAAAGTAGTGTGTCATTACTAGGCACTGTGTTGCCGTATAAGTAAATACTAGATTTTCAAAGAGCTTAGGACTTGCATCTCATGCCTGATAGAGCTTGTCAACCAGGCACTCTTGTATACTTGGAGGAACTTATGCTTCCTCCATGACTAGCATTTTAATTGAAGTGCAAGTGAGGGCATTACTACCAAGTCATTTTGATTACTAATGAATCTTCACAGCTTAAATTATGCATGCAAATTAGCCACATCATAAAAAGTGTTATATCTGGTAAACTATGATATCAAAGCAGTGTAACAGCTCTCATTTAATTGGCTAAAGTGTAAACTCTTCCAACAGAGTTTAACAGAAACTAACAATATGTGCGATATGTTGATTACTATGTTACTGCCGTTTCGCCTAACCTATTTGACTCCACAGAGGATTGGTCCTTACACTATCTATCTCTTTGAGGTCAAAAAAGGTTTCGACATCCAAAGTATTCACCCAATGTCAGAGGAATGTCTTACTAGTGAAGGCCAATAACTTCAAGTGTCTAATCCCAAGCACTCACTATTAATCTTTGCTCTCTACATTATAAAAATCAAACTTCTACTTAATATACTGACAAAACTCAAAGATAAAATAAACTTATTGTTTTCACTTCTTCTGGTTTCTATTTCACAGAAAAAGGTGAATAAGCCAGCCCATAAATTCCCACTTCTGCCTATTAATGGCGTAGCGTGACTACTAGTCAGTGTCATCGGTGATTATTTTGCCTGACACCCAACCTGTTGTTCCCTACTGGTTACGACTTCCCATTTTATTTCTCATCTAATTTTGTTCTTAAAGATTACCAAGTGATTTTAACTTAATGACTCACCAGAATTCAGACTAAATTTTATTTGAGATGTAGGAAAATTTCAAGATAGGTCATTCGATGGGGTAATAGGCTGACACTAAAATAAGTTTCTGAGACTTATGTTATACATACCAGGTATCTGTCTTCCTCGAAGAGAAATGACGGCTAAATTAAGGTTGAACTGAGAAGATGAGACGACTACACGGAATATCTAGAAAGTCCCTGACTCATGACTTCAACTATGTGTTGAGTTTTTAGGTTGACTAACCTGGCTGGCTAGAATGTCAATAATCCATACTGAAATAGTTCAGAATTGTTCATAACGACAAAGATGTGTATTAGTTCCACGTCATATTTAAAAATTTATAAGATGTTAGTTAATTTTCATTAAAATTACTACATAGCCACTTCACACTCATTTTTATCAAATAAACTAGTGCTGACTGTTTCATTTCAAGTGTCGGAATGTTGCAGTTTCAGTCGATGGAATCTGTGCAATACTGTACCCAGTCTATGCAAACAGTAATTATTATTATACTTATTGTCGTAGTAAAAATGAACAGACTGGCTGAGGAAACATTTTATGTGCGGAATCCCGTAATAGAAGTGAATTTTAGTCGAACTAAGAATATACACGGCTAATTCAAACATTAACTTCGGATCAGAGACAGTAAATATTTGTCTAATTAGGCATAAAATGGCAAAATAACATATGCCTGAAAATTTTGAAAGAGAAGGTTCATTAAATGACTAGGAAAAGACTCCAGTATATGACTGATTGAAAGTGATTAACCTTCATTTACCTTGAGTAGTTGTCAGGTAAAATGGATGATGGATGATCTTACTTCAGTCTTCAGTAAATCGGTTAATTTGAAGCCAGATTTGTTACTATTGATATTTTTTACTATTTGAAATACAAATTTCTCTGCTAACTTCGAGTAAGCACCAGAAGATGGAAATGTGGATTTCATTTTCACATTTTATAAGAACCTGATTAAAATGTGTGTTTCATCTTGTGATCATTTTAACTGATAGCTATTCTGTTTCTAATTAGACCTCCTGTGTTGAACAAAAGTTCAGCTTATGATGTTCATAGTATGAAGTAGAATAATTGCTATGATTTTCAAGAATTAGTTTGTAGGGATTGTGTTTGTTTCGTAATAGCAAAGATGTGGTGTGACCTTAAACAAATATAATTCCTACGAATTAATTCTCGAAAACTAATCTGATGCTCGATAGTGATTGGATACAAAATAAAGTTACCTGGGAAGTAGTAATCAGTGAGGTCCATCCAGTTGGGAGTGAGAATAAGATTTTCCGCCGATAACACTGGTTGGTGGTCGCGCTGAAATCATGAATCGGTAGAAAATAGGATTCATGGGCTGGCCACTGAATCCTGTCCCATTGGCTGAATGGTGTACGAGTTTGCCTTGTAACTGGAAGGTTCTGGGTTCGAACCCCAGTGGGTGCGTACTTCTGATGATTCCCAAACTAAAGTGAAACAGCTGTCCAGCACTCTTTGGTTTTCAATGGTTCTCTAACTGATATCAATTCATGGTCTTATCTAAAATTGCACTGATCTTTTCATCGTTTCGGTAAAAAGTGTACACCTGCACCATTATAGAATAAATTAAATTACTTTAGAATTTTTTATTGTTAAATTGTGTTTACAATGAAGAGTTTATTGAAGACAAACTGCCAGAGATTTTCTAAAAAATAAATCATAGTGAGATTAATTTCTAAATTTATCACTATTGTCGATT